AAAGAAATTTGAGAGCCACATAAAGGTATTGGAACAAGCTGATATTCTAATTAGTATCACTGTTTTCTTGTTTCCAGTGTCAAACTGTTTCAAAGCAACTTCAAATGAGGTACATTTCTAACAACAAAATAAGATAGATGTTTTGTTTAGTGCTCATCTGAATACTATTTGCTTTTATTTACATTAAAATAAAATGCATTACATTACACCAGGTTAAAAGTAGTTATCAAGCGATAAGAATTGACCCTCACAACAATTTGGGAAATTTCCTTTTAGTGTGAATACTGCATGAAAGTGCATGAATGGCAGTCATGGTGCATATGCAGACCTGAATACGTTACAGAATGTGTGTTCAATTATACTGTCACCAACACTATTAAGAATTAATTTACTTTTCAGAATTTACCGTGGAACAGGAATTCCAAATTTTGACCAATTTAGGATTTTTAATAACACATTAGCTTACAAATATCCTATCACATGAGAGCATTAAGGTAAAATCTTGTTCAGGATTTTACTACAGTAAGCTAATAAGCCATTTTTATTTCCTGCTCTATTTAAAAGTGAATTGCAATCCAAATGCTAGTGGAATAAGGGCATTTTCAAAAATTGGATTTTATCCATAAATATTTCCTAAGGAACAGTTTTCCCTCGGGTCTTTCTAAGTTTTGTAGGAAGTTTTATTGCTTAGCAGAGCACTAGTTGGTTCTAAAGATGTTCTTTGAAGTAGAGACTTGTTTCAGTTGCCAGCTTAAAGGAGATGGAAGATAATCTAGCCACTGGAAGGGTCCATCTTTCTCGTACCTGGATTTCCCACAGACTGTGTTTGAGGTTAGAAAAGTAATTTTTTCTAGGTTCTTTACAGTGTCTTGTCTGTCATCTTGCAGTTAGGCCGACTTGCTGTATCAATCTCTTGAAGTAGGAAAGAACTGGCTGTGTTCGCTGACAAGGTAGTGTCAAAAGGTTTAACAAACTTACAGTTAAGTTGTGGAATGACTGATCTTGAAAGAGCTTTTGTGCTTGTTTCTTTTGGAAAATGCTGTTTGTGTTTGTTCACAGCGTGATGTTAGAAGCAATATCCTAGCAGTAAACCTAATGACTGCTATCTCATTTCTATAGTAATTGGGAATAAAAATAATTGAGATTCACTACAGATGTATGTTTCCTCACTAGGTTAAAAAAAAACCAAAATCCTGAAACTACCAGAGTTGTTCAGAATTGAAGTCAATCCAAATTTGTAGCTGACCAATAATTCTCTTTATATACTACTTAATGGATGAAAGTCATGGAGTAGATATTTGTACAGGATGAGAATAATTATATTAAATGGTTTGTAATGTCAGTAATGTAGTAGAAATATTGCTTGTTGAAAGAATAGAAATGTTATGTCAAAAAATATATATGACTATAGAAATGAATATGAGTGAAATGATCACATCTGCAACTTGTAGGTTCTGCCCAGTTGTAAGTATGTTTTGAGAGAATCATAAATTTTTAATGATCCAATTACTCTTAAAATAATAGCTCTGAATCCCTATTTTCTAGAAAGAAATCATAATTTCAATTAAAGCTGTTGTGGTGTTTGGTTTGTTTTTTTGTAGTTCTTTTTTTTAGCCATGCTCTCACTGATCTGATCAGATAAAGTCTCCCCTTGAAGAATGAAGGGATGACAGAATATTCTTTGTTCTTTTGTGCTCTTGTTCTTGATATATTTGGAGGCGGTATTCCAAATGTGAATTGATAAGAACAACATTGGCAAATCTTCCAGTTACTGTTTGTGTGAACGCTGGTTGCAAGCAACAGTTAAAATAGCAGTACAATTTAATTTACCTCTTATGCCATGGCTTTTCAGTAATCAATCACAAGAAATATCTCTGGGTTGATACACAATTCTTTCCCACCAGCTGCTGAAAAGCAAAGCATGCTTTGTTTTTTTTCAATTTTTGCATAAAAGACAAAAAAAATGGCTATGGAAGACAGTAATAATGTATATATTTTATCAATTGCTGAACATGTGCTCAAATTCTTCTAAATTCTTGAAAAATGAATAAAACTGAAAAAAACCCCAACTCTTTTTTTCTGTATCTGTGTAACAGTGGTCAGTTGGATTTAATGCCAAAGTAGATGTTTACTGTCCTGCTTGTTTTTAGCAATGTGTTGGCAGTGATTCTGCTGTCTAAGAGATCACGTCTGATTTAAGAGCAGTATGTTTAGGATATAGTTTGGCATTACAATTTGACACAAATAGAGACTATTTAAAGTTTCAGAGTGCCGAAAAGCTCTCAAACTCTTGAAAATCTTGGTGCTGAATAGCAAAGAAACCTTTTAAAGCTACTTTTACTTTCTGTGCTGTGGAAGAGTAACCAAACTAGATCCAGGAAAACAAGTTTTGTGTTGTTCTGAACCAAACCTGATAAGATCGGGTCTTAGAGCTGGAGCATCTCTGAAATTTGAGCTGTCTAGTTGGAAGCATAATGTTCTGGCCAATTTTGTGCAGCTACATTCTCTCTTTCATGGTTCTACCTTAATTACAGGTTTGATGAGGTATTGTTGTTATGCTGTGGTAAGCTTGTTACCTGGTTGCACCATTTCATTTGGGATACAAGTGTGAAGAGTTCTTGCAGGCCAAATTCTATAAATCTTTAATGAAGACATTTCATATTGTAGAATTTTTAATGGGAATATAAGAAATGTGACCGTTTCTGTATGGTCTACTCCAAAGTAAATCCATGTTCTTAAGGTGCGGTATATGTGCTCGATCCACGTGATTTACTCTCAAATACTTATGGTTTAGATGCATCTAAATGTTTTCACTTAAAATGGAACTGTAATTATATCAATGAATATACAGCATTTAGTCATGCTTGAGGTGTGACATACAGAATTTAATAACAACTTCTTTTTATGTAGAAGTTTGTCAGTGCTACCTAGAGATACACCACAAATGTTAAGGTGTCTGGTTGGTTTTTTGTTGGGTTTTTTTTTTCCTTTCCCTCACTTTCAGAATAGCTTGCATTTAAAAGCTAGTAGCAGCTTGCTTCCATTTGTTACCAAAATAACATGGTAGGAGCAATCAGTTTCAATTGCTGCTGATAATTATAAGGTGCAATAATTGAGAATATAGAGAAAAGGAGACTGTGAGCTACATTTGAACTCTGTACTTAAGCAATAAAAAATTTATCAAACTGCAAAAAATAAGTCATTTTAACGAGCGCATTCCAAAGGTGCTGGATTTATGAGGAGACCCCAGGAAACTTTGATTGAAATTGCTGTCTCTGATTGTAGTTCTATATTTTATTGGTGCCATATTGTGAACAGTGCTGCTGCCAAAGTGAATGGGAAAGCAGCATAACAGAGAGAGTTAACCCAGAAAGGTTACCTCTTTTTATAATATCCATGATGTATTGCATTAAAAATGCCTTGAAAGCCATCCTATTTGCAGTTTTCAGAAAACATTTTTCTTAAATTAAGTTACGATTTATCTGAACAGGGCAGAAAATATGAAAGCCCCTTGAAGACTTTAGTATTGATTTTTCTGAGTATTTGCTGGCTCTTGTTTTCTCATTTGTGTGTTCCTTGACAGAAAGGCCTAGAGCTGCTCCTGAGCCAAAGCTTCTGCTGGATGAGAACTGCAGCAGTGGAGGGAGGGAATATAGGGACTGAATTTACAGTACAAGTTTGAACTAAGAACTTTACATTGGCTTTTTAGAAGATTTTGTCTCTCTGCTTCCTGAATTTAGACAATACGTAACTGACTTACAAAATTAAGATGATTTATTAATTATTTAAGGCTGCTCCCAACTAAACAAATATTGCAGTTTGTTTAGAGATGAATGACTTTAGTATTTTGAAAATGTGAGTTCGAGGTCACATTTTATGTGTGCATACTCTAATTAGAGTTATAAGTCTTTATTATTTTTATTCTGGAATTAGATGAAAACAAAATTTTCAAAAATTATTACATGAAAGCATATTTGAAATGGACAGTGAAATGGACACACATGGTTACTAACTTCTAAGGAAGAATGAGGAATACTGTGGGGTTGATGATTTCTAGCCCTTCACTGCTGTTCTGTGCCAACTGCTTATTAAAACTTCATCCTCCCTCTCTCAAAGTGCTCCGTTACTTTAGCCATAAAACTGTTATACCATAGCTCCCAAATACCTTGTTATAAATGCTGACGGTATCTTTCAATTTATACCGAAGTGAAGTAAGCTTATGAAAATAGTTTTGAGGGATTAAGCTCTAAGTACTATTTCTCTGCAGTGGATTATTTTTTCCCCAAGCTCAATGCATTCATGTTGCTTAATGATAAGAAAAATGTTGTGACAAATGTATTGAAGCATCGTTGGCTCTTGCGCATGTTATCTAGCATGTTAGACTAATAATTTTGAGAGAAGAATGACAGATATTATTCCAAGATTCACTCAACTTTGTCTAGATTGTGCCTGTTATTTCACCTTACTTTGCCTCAGTTTATGATTTGGTGAAATCGCAAGTATGTAAACAAGTGAAATTGTTCATAAAATGCCCTGGCAGTTTATGACTTGAAATTCTTTTAGAAGTTATCTATTTTTATATCACTGCTGCTACATTTTTTTTTTGTTGTTGTTTTTTCTTCTAGTAATGTAAAAAAAAAAAAAAAAATTAAGAGTGAAGATTAACTAAAACTGCCATACATTTACTTGAGAACTTCAGAAAAACTTGAGTCCATTACATACTTTGCCTTGATTTGCCTTTACTTTGTGGTTAATGTGAAGTTTTCATCTTGGTAAAGTTGGTTTCAAAAAATTGTTGATCTCATATGGCTTTTTTTTACCTATTAAGTACTTTTGAATTTGGTAATTATGCCAACTGGAGATTATAGAAAGTTTAAGCCTATTAAGATTGTACCAATGTAGGATATCATGAAGTCTGCATTGTTAGACCAGATTTTGTATTTTATGGTTCTCACATTGTCTGTTATCTTAGTGGTGTTTTTCTCTCTCTCTCTTTAAAGGTTCAGCTGTGGAAGAAACTAATGAACAAAAACCGAAGGGACGAGACCCAGCTGTTTGGCATGTAGGCTTGAAGGTGGCATGGGACATAGAGACACCTGGCTTAGCAATACCACTTCACCAAGGAGACTTCTACTTGATGCTTGGTAATTTTCAAGTGCTAAGAAGGTGAACTTTCTACTGAAAAGAGAGGAAATGACAGTTATTTTAATATAAATTATCATACCTTCCTTTCAGTTAGGAATTGACTTATTTAGAAAGACCTGTTGCTTTCTCTTTTGGCTTGTGTTTCTCTTTGTTATCACTTTTGTCTAAACAAGTTTAGTTATAAATCACACAACTCAAAACACAAGCAATGCTTCTGACATCACCATGTTTGCCTGTTCAGTGACTTGGCATGGCAGACATAGTCTCTGAGGAGTGAGAGCGCTGGCAGTGTTCCCTGTTTCTCTGTTTGTGATTTGGAAAGTAGACACCATGAAATATCCCTCAAATGACCTGTTGTGCTGCCAACTCGTTGGGCTGAACAGTCTTTTCACTTTTACCTTTCACTTTTATCTTCCAACAGAGATGAAAACGGTTTGCTTACTACGAGCAATATATCTGTGGGCAATCTTAAAAAACACATACTATTCCTTGTTCTTAGTTACCTTATCAAATCCTGTGCACTGTCATCAGTGAAGTATCTTGTGTAAAAGAACTGGACTGTGTGTCCTCTGAAGTGTGCCCAGATGTGAACAGATCAAGTGTTAAGACGTGAGATCCTTTGGCACGGTGGTGTGGATGTGCCTTTCTTGTCTGTATTCGTGAAGATATAGAGTAGCAGCCTGGAGGGAAACTGAGACATTTCTTATAGGAAAGGGAAGTTTAAGTGGCAGCCAAACATTCCTAGAAAGGGAATTACTAATCCATTTTTTGTGCAATAGCAGTTTGGGTATGAAGTAAACTTCTTATCTAATCCTTCTTGACTTGCAAGTTTGTGCATGCACAGCTTTGCTGGGCAGCAGATTCAGGAGGGAAGTAATAAAAGAAGGGGTCTGACTACAGTGTTTTTATTGCAAAATACTGTAGATTGCAGTTGGCGGAGTTACCAGATCATAAGGACAATTTTTGTTCCCCAATGGAATTTATAAACAGTAACTAAAGTATTATCAGGGATGCTGTATGAAGGGTGGGTCAGAAAGTTAGTTTATTTAACACATAACTTCATGGTACTGTTTAGATGGAAACAAAGGATATATTAAACATTCTTTTGAAGACGATGTGTAAATCACTTTCTTATTAATACTTTGTAAAGAGCAACAGATTTGAGCTCTGTAGGCCAGGTGTTTGATAATCTTTTCTGCATTTCCATAGCCTTTGTATCTTTTTTCAATTCCTTTTAAAAAAAGGTTATTATTTTATACAGTGTGAGAGAGTATTCTCAAACTGGCCCTTTTATTGGGTTTCTATGTATGGCCTTTATAATTTTCACTCGAAGTTAAAGACAATATAAGCTGGACGTGTGTAGTTTTCCTGTATTTTTTATGGTTCGGATTTTTTTAAACATGAACTTTAAGAGGAGGCATCTTGAGGATGCCACCTAAAAGATAAAATCTAAAAACTTTTTATAAAAAATAACTTGATAATAGAGAGCCAATTTTAGTTTCATTTATCTTATGCCTTTATACACCATATGTTCCAGAACCGCATTTCAGTGAGCAGAGTCTTCTTGCTGGCATCATTTTAAAAGCAGCAGCAGCAGCAGTGTGCAAGGCATCTAGAAAGTGTGACATTGAGTACTGGGGTTGGTAGTAGCTGCTGGTGTGGAGGGACTGATCGGTTGGACTGTCTACTCTCTCCAACTACCATCGACTCATCCAACAAAAAACCGAGCAACTCTGTAGGTCTCTTCTTCCAGTTGCTGAAATGGTGTAGTGCTCTCTGCTTCATATCAATGTTGTCAAATACTGAAATGTCAAATTCAGTGTGTTGCTTATAATTAAAAAGTCAGATCCTATCAGTTCCTGTACATGTCACACCCTGACTATTTCCTACTATGATACACACAAATCTTAGGTAAGAAAATGTGATCATTTGATATTTCTAATAGTAACGTGCAATTGCAGTAACTTGTAAGTCCTGATCATTGGGTAAATCAGAGAAACAAAAAGGTTGGTGTTGGTTTTTAGCATTTGTAATAGACATTTAGTAATAGTTATGTTCCTCTCTTCATTTGGTCTATGAAATGGCTTTCTTATTCTGGTAGAATTTTAGTAAAATTCAGTCTTAAAATATGAATTTACTCCTGCATTCTCAGCAGTCCTCTTCAGATGAAATCATAAACTATAACTTAAATGTATGTTCGTACCAAACAGGAGGTGATCATATCCATCCTTCAAGTAAGCTATTACAATAGTATAAGTGTATTTTGTTTAAAGGAAACCCAACCAAATCCAGAATTACTTTCAGTAAGACAGATTTTTATTTTTTTTTCTTAAGGCTTACTTTTCCTAATATGAAGAAGAAAAGATCTGATGAATGACTGCAGATCTGCTGCCTAAAAACTCAAATCTGAACTTTATATCACTCATGAAACGGAAACACTTTAGCTCAATTTAGAATAATATATTGGTCTGCAGAGGAAGTGCATACTGAACCCTGCTGTCTCAAGTACACAGTCAAGGGGTGTCTAATATGAAACGTGTTGGGTGCATGCAATAAATCCAAAACGCGTGGAGGTGAGCAAAGGGCCCCATCTGCTCTGTCCTAGAGCATGCTTAACTAGGGTTGTCATGGTCTTGCTATTAAATTGGAATCTTTCCCCTAATCTTTGAGTTAGACATGACCAGATTTGCAAGCAGATTTACAATTTTCACTAATTTTCCTACCATGACTTCAAAACATACTTAACAAAAATACATTCTGGACTTTTTCAAAGGGAGATTTACTTTTCTGCAGCTGTTTCCCATAGATCAAGCTCTTGCTTGAAGGTTAGGGTTTTAAAACAGCATGAAGATGAACTTGGAATCTTATACCCCTCCCCACCCCCAGCAAATTATAGTTCAAGAAGCATCAAAAAATTATTTTCCTAACCAACCAGAAGCAGGGCGCACACATTGCAGAGGTTGGCTTGTGGTTAAAGATAAGTATTTAATGGAAACACTTCCACATGTATATAGTGGCTCATTAAACTATTTCAAGATATTTAATCTGCTTCTATTTCCACAAACTAACTTGAACCCTCTTTGCTCTCTAGCATCATGAATGTGTTGGAGGTTTTTAAACCTTTTTTTTTTTCTTGAGTCCACATTTAATCCAAATGCTATATTCCTTGATTATGAAGACTTCGAACCCCAGAAATGTATTTGTTGTTACCAAACTTTGATCATGAAGTTTGGCAAATCCCAGACTTCTTTTTTTTTTTTTTTGGTTCAGCCTTTTAATTCTTTCTGTGTTTTGTTTGTACACTTTGTTTGTTTAAGAAATATTTCTTAATTAGGGACAAGTCATCTCTATAGCTTTCTGTTATGAAAGTAGTGTTCAATTGACCCATAATTTCTTGGGGAAGGAGACTTACCTTTCTGGTGCTTTTTGTTGACCTACGTACAGTGAAATTAGTGTGGTTGGGTTTTCTCCTCTTGAAGCATTGTGTGCAGTTGGATACAAGTAGAATTGGAAATTCTGCTTTTGAAAATTGCACTGTAATATGGTTAAAAAGAAAATTCTGTGTTTATGGTAGTTAAGAAAAGCAAAGGCACAAGTCAATTTTACTTTTGTTTGTAGATACTTCTGGTCTTTAAAGCACTGGCAAAAGCTTTGATATTCTAAACCCCACTGTACTTTTTATCTGCTTCATGAAATAGATGACAAAAAGACAACTGTCTAAAAAGTTCAGGAAGAACACTTGAAAGAAGACAGAAAAGGCAATACAAACCCCCGTTGCTAGTTCCGAGAGCATTTTCCATTGTGGTTTCTGTTTTCCTGGGAAGTGCTTTACCCAGAAGTAATAAGTCTGGGGCCTTTATTCCCTACTCCTTTCAGTAAGGATTGGCTAGGAATTAATTTCTTTCTTTTCTACCTTGTATTTGTTATGTCTAAATAATCTGCAGGAGTATACAGTTGTCATTTCTCTCTGAGAGAGAGCTTCTCACCTCACTAGTTAAGTAGTAGAATTAATTAAGTGTATATACATACACATATTCACAGAATCACAGAATCTTCTAGGTTGGAAGGGACCTTAAAGATCATCTTGTCCAACCGTCAACCTCACTGACAAAAATAGACACCCACACAACAAACAAGGAGCATCATCACTAAACCAGACCTCCCAGCACTACATCAACCCGTCTTTTGAACACCTCCAGGGATGGGGCCTCAACCACCTCCCTGGGCAGCCCATTCCAATGGCTGAGAACCCTTTCAGTGAAAAAATTTTTCCTAATATCCAGCCTGAACCTCCCCTGGCGTAACTTGAGGCCATTTCCTCTTGTCCTGTGGCCTGTGACTTGAGAGAAGAGACCGACCCCCATCTCTCTACACCCTCCTTTCAGGTAGTTGTAGAGAGCAATAAGGTCTCCCCTCAGCCTCCTCTTCTCCAGGCTGAACACCCCCAGCTCCCTCAGCCTCTCCTCATAAGACTTATATTCATTAGTCCCTTCTTTTGACAAAGGCTATACAAGAACAAGGCTTTCCATGTTTCCTCTGGTGGTGCCCCATAATTCAGCTGTCCACAAGAAAATGTGGGATGGGGACTCAGAAGGAAGAGCATCAGAGAGGAGAGAGAGGAACTGGCAGTAGTTTCAAGCAGCGGAGAGGACTCTGCTGAGATTCTGTGTAATTGAGAAAGGAACAGGATGGCAGAAGTCTTGTATAGGGGAGGGGCAGGAAGATCTATGACGTGAACTCACTCCCACTACTTCAACAGAATACACAGCGTCCGAGTTCCAAAATGTATCTGCTGTCTGTAAATAGCAGGAAAATCACTGAGAAGCTTGTCTGATAAGGGGATCCACATAGAGAGTAATAGTCTGCCTCTGATAGTAGAAGGGTGGTCAGGTGTTGAAACAATAGCATTAGTTTTAGGAGCTGTAAACCTGCTTCTCTCACAGAATTTCCACGCAGACTTTGGCAAATCTCTTTACCTCTCCTTACCCTCAGGTTTTTCAGTGTCGTTAGCAACTTTACGGAGTCCTTGCATGGATAAATGTATTAAAGTGCCAAGTACCTTAGATTGCTTTGTGTCATTTGTGTTTTGTCTTTTGTATTTTTTTTTTCTTTCTCCTGCAAGTGTGAGGAATAGGAATCTGTATTAAATAAAAACTTCATTTTGTAACTATGTTTTACACTAGGTTTGTTATCTGAATTTTTGTTGCTGGAGATTCTGTGTCAAATAACTGGATGCATTTGCAACTAATCAGATCATCTGCTAAACATTCTTATGACTTCTTAGTACTTCATCTGTGAAGTCAAAATCTGACCTCTGAATTATTCAAAGAGACTTCAAGTTGATAACTTTGTTTTCTAAGTTGGCTTTGGCCACCTGTACACAATCATACATGTGATTAATTTCTTTTAATAAATCTTGCCTCAGCTATGGTAGCCCTATAATGGGATCTGGCCAAAAGGTGGCAGATGATTCATTGGGAAGTGGCAGGCAGAAAGGAGAAGAAATAAAAGAATAAAACAATCCATTTAAAAGAAATACAAATTTTGCCATATATGTGTATGCAGGAAGTAGAAAAAATACAGATTTTGCCATATATGTGTATGCAGGAAGTAGTCTTCGCCTCCAACAGAAAAATGAAGTTATTTTTTCCAGCATTCAAACACCAAGCGTCTGTTACCAACCAAGTTGTGTTCCTTTGGATGCAAACAAGTCCTTTACAATATTGCAGTGGTTTGGGGGAAAGAATTTAGGCCTGAAGTGCAGCTAATCTTCCACATGTGCACAGTGACTGCTGGCACAATGCTATCCTGTTAATACAGGTAAATATTAATAGCTTTAATGTGTGTGATTAGGCTTTTATTGAGAAAATTCTCTTTGAACAGGACAGCCCTCTCACATTTGTTGTATTTGATTGGTTTTCTTGATTAGTTTCTAGAATTGCTATTTTAAATTTGGGTTATATATAGTGGTTTAAAATGTACAGGCAGGCAAAATGCCTGACTAGATGTCAGAAAAATAGTCTGTGCAAGTGAGAGCATTTTTCATAGATGTGGGAAAGCTTTGGGAGAAGAACAGTCAGGCAAGCAGCAAATTGTAGTCCAATTCTCAAAGGTTCTTTCTTACCTAGCAGTTAGTGAATTGGCATACGTGTCTTCTAAGCATCCCCATGGAAAGGCAAGACTGTTTTAAGGAGAAGGGATTGTGTGACAGTTCTTGAATCTGCACTAAGTACATGGCTAAGTTGGTGTTGATGGTGATTTAAAATAAAAAGTCACTTGTTGTATGCATTACACAGTTCATATAATTTTTGTAGGCTTTTGGTTTTGTAACAGATACTGAAATGAGATGTCCCTACCATAGCTGTCCTGAATTTGCCCAAGTGTTTCATGGCAGAAGGGATGCCATGTTGGCTCTTACCACAACTTCACAACTGTCTGACAAATGACTTGGCTGCGTGCAGTTTTCCAGAGCAGGACTGATAAGTATGTTCTTACTTTTATACTGTCGTGGTTCAACTCCAGCTGGCAGCTAGAACCACACAGCCACTCTCTCGCTCCCCCTGGTTGTGATGAGGGAGAGAATCGGAAGAGTAGAAGCGAGGAAAAACTCCTGGGTTGAGATAAATACAGTTTAATAGGTAGAGCAAAAGCTGTGAACTGGAGCAAAGCAAAACAATTGCATTTACTGCTTCCCACGGGCAGGCAAGTGTTCGGCCATCTTCAGGAAAGCTGGGCTCCATCATGCGTAATGGTTACTTGGGAAGACAAACACCTTAACTCTGAACTTCCCCTCCTTTCTCCTTCTTCCCCAGCTTCATAGACTGAGCATGATGTACGGGGCATGGAGTATCCCTTTGGTCAGCTGGGGTCAGCTGTCCCAACTGGGTCTTGCTGGTGGGGTGGTGTGAGAAGCAGAAAAAGCCTTGGGAGCTTAGCAACAACCAAACCACCCATGTCCTATCAACACCATTCTCATCCCAAATCCAAGACGCAGCACTACAGCAGCTGCTAGCAAGAAAGTCAACTCCATCCCAACTGAAACCACAACAGATATACATGTATTTTATGTGATGCATAATACTGGAGAGGCTGTGTTTTGGTTTTCCAAGCCTCGCCGATCAGTGTTGCATCGTATAAAACTGATGTCATTTTACCTGAAACCACCAAAGCGCTGGGGTAGTTTTGACATGGGTGTCCAAGGAAGGTAATGGTTTTGGTTTTGCTCTAAAACCAGAATAGTAGTTTGGATGTAGTGTTCTATGTCTGAATAAAAGCTTTTGCTGCCAAATGGACAATGGCCAATTTAACAAAGAGTGCTTTTTCTTTTCAATTAATATATTTTTAGAAGAAAAAGAAAAGCAGATCTTTACGGTAATCTTTTAAGACCCAGAATGTATTTTTTAAATATCCTTTGAGACACGCAATCCATGAAGCTTCAACTATTTTTGTACAATTACAGTTTTAGATGAATTATAAACTCTTAAATTAAAATTACAGGCTTCTTTCTAAGAGTCGTAAAGGATTAGAGACAGTTGGAAGCAATTTCAAGGGGGAGCTCTACAATGAAAGATTTGCCAAGGGTTTGAATAAAGGTGCAAATCAAAATGTAATACTTTCAATGCTATGCTTGCTACATAAACCACACCGCAATGAATGGGCACTGAACGGGGTGGTGGAAGTGTTTAGGTTTGTTTTCTGTCACAATTCTTGAAGGTGATTGTGATATTTATACCTTGCAACGTCCAGAGATAATACTGGTCTGTGGCCCTTGCAAGAATTGGCTCTGTGCAAGGTAAAACAGAACTAATTTTCATTTCAGTAATTTTACTTTTCAGAGAGTTAGATAGTTGGAAGAGGCGTAACTGAAAAGTAAAATTACTGAAAGGAAATTTGTTTTTATTTTACCTCAAATCAGGACATTAACCCTCTTATGTTAATGTAGGAAGTTGCGTTTTCTTATGTTTTGGAGTTTTTTTTCAAGCTTTTCAACTTCACCTATCTGCAAATCTCATGCAAATAGAAAATAAGCCTCCCATCTAAACTTTTTCAGTGGGAATTCAATCAGTTTCATAACTTGTATGCCTATTCCTTACATAAATTGGGGTTTTAATTGTATTTTTTCAAGTCTGCTTTCTTTGGTATGATCATTGCTAATAGTTGCTTGTAAAATTCATAAAAATAATACCCTGTTCTTACAACTAGAATAAATTCAGTCATTTTTCTGAACTCTTATTCATTAGACTTTTCTCAGTTTTAAAGTTTCAGACTTGTTCCAAGGCGAAGTAGAAGTTTTTTAGAGTACATCTTTTTTCAATAGTAAAGAGAATACCAGTAAACCTCAAACACTGTTCTTTTCAGTCTGATAGTCTGTCATTATGGTCAGAAGAGCATTTTCAAAAATCAGCAGGAATTTGGGGTATCAGATTTCAGGTGTAGAAATATTGATCTCTTAGAGAAGTTATATTTATGTGATGGAAGGATGAAGCTTGATAATTTGTCATCATGCTGTATGAAGATGACGGAAGCTAAATTCCCTTAAAGAATAGATATTGTTGAAAATACAGGCTCCAAGTTGAGGCACGTCTTATGGATGTCTATTCCTGTTCTCTTCTAATTTTGTCCATGACAGATTTTCACTTGGTGGCACTTCAGGTCACCTAGTTTTGGATGGTTTTTTTAGTCTCTTTTTACTAACTTACGAAACTATAACCCAGGAGTGATTTTACAGAATTTCTTTGTAGATATTCCTGAATGTTCTCAGCCTGAATGAAGGTTGAGAGGGCAGCATAATTTTAACACCAAAACTGATTGAATTGAAAGCACTTCATGAATGGTTTTCAACGTAACAGTGAGTGTTATTACTAGATTTAGTAAGAACTTTTCCAGGGGAATATGCTTCCTCTAAAAAATGCTAATTTGCTAAAATTTGAGTGTTCTTCAATTACGATAATTTTGACAAAACTCTTGATGGCAACCAAGTGTATTACATCTTCAAAGGTTTGTGAGGTTGGTTGTTTGGCAGTTTGTGAACTGGAGTCCATGACAGCCCTCTGGCAGGCTACAGGAAAGTCTTCAATGAAAAGCTTTGGAGACCAGTCTTTGAGCAGATTGTGCTTTCTGGGTTCCCATTTTCTTGACTCTGAGCTGAAGGGAGAACCTCAGTTAAGTTTCAGATAAAAAGATGAAATAATATCTCCTTGACTTTTTCCTTTCTCTTTGGTCCTTTTTTGTCAGTATCCTTTAGTGATTTTTGAGAGAAGAGATTGTGATTTCTGGGTAGTTTGTTGTTTCAGTGACTGTCAACTTTGAAAGGATTAATTTGTTTACTTGTTTTTTTTCCCTGTAAGAGGTGGGAAAATGCCACCTAAACTGTACAAACCAGCAGAAAACTAGGGTGAATAGAGACCTTTAACACAAGGACAGTGAATAGTTATCATGTTCTACTAAACATTAGAGCACTATGAAGGTAGTATTATGTTGACTGAATTATCTAGTTTTTTTCTTTATTTTAATGTAGTGTGTTTAATTTATACTCAGAATAAGTTTTAGTAAGTATATTTTTTTCCCTGTACTTAAGGTTTTCTAATCTATAGTGTCTTTAATTTATACTCAGAATAAGTTTTATTAAGTATATTTTTTCCCTGTACTTAAGGTTTTCTAATCTGTCCCTAGATGATCTCAATATGACCCATCAGCACTGTGTTCTGGCTGGTTATTCTCCTCGATTCAGCTCAACTCACAGAGTGGCAGATGTAAGTATCAAAAATGGTTTGCTGTTTGGTCATTCATAAAACTAATATTCTGGTACCTCTGTGTGTAGCATTGTGTTCCTTATCTCCAGGTCTGTAGTTCACAGTTACGCATAGGACAGGCTGTTTTCTTGAACAACTGCTGTTTCTTTTTAGATTGAGGTACACTTAATTCAATATCAGTAGATATGAATGAAGAGTGTGCTGCACCACACTCCATGGATTACTGATGAAATGTAGAAACAACTGTATTTTTACTTGAAATGTTTTAAAACTTTTTTGCTGTGTTCATATCCTGGTCCTAGTTGAAAGGCAATATTCGTGATGAGATAGGAAAGACTCAAAAGGTGTATGTCAGCAGTGTCCACTGGCAAAAATGGCCTTTAGGAGGTCAGAACAGAGAAGAGCAGCCATGAGTGTGCTTTAAATTGGATCCTTCTGTGCATCTGAGGATTGAAGCAGCAGAAAGTGATAGAGTCCCTGGTCTCAGAGTAATTCTGAGGTAACAAGCCTTCAGCTCGATATTCTCAAGTGCTAAGACACCTTTTCTAATTGTTATTTTTACTAGACATTTCCTCCCTGTTGTTTTCCACGGTGTTATCACTAGTTTTGTTTCTGGGAAAGCATGCGGAAAAAAATAGTTTTTGTTGTAAACAGATATTTTAAAAAATTACAATTGCTACTTTGTTCTTTTAGCAAGGAAAAATATACCACTAGTGAAGCAAGAGAGATACATGGATCTATACTCTTTTCCCTCATTACTCTTCCAAATTTGTGCAGAAATGAAGCAATAGCACCAAACATGGACATATACATATATATAAGTTGTAATATTAAATAAGCACCTTTATTTCCCAAAAAAATATACACTCTGCTTGCTTGAACTGGGATTTGACATAAAGTAAAAGTGCACTGTACATTTAAAAACAAATAATTCTTTATTGTTCATCTCTCGTTTTAAGGGTGCTCTGACCTACTGCTTTTGTCTCTGTATTACTTCTGCAGGAAGATGCACACTTATTTTCACAGTATGAAAAGCTTCCCTATTAAGTGATTATGCTTTCTTTTTGTAAACTGTTGTGACTTCAAGTTGTATAGTATGGAAATGTTTTTTACAAAGAATATGAGACCAGGGATCCTTATTCAAGATTATTCCTGAAAATTTAACTGAAGGTACAGATATTTAATTTAAAATAATTAATAGATTTAGATATCTTCTTTCTTTTGTTGCAAAAGCATTTTTACAGATTTCCTTCTCATTTTGAAGGAATTTTAATGAGAGCAAAATAAAAGGAATGAAAGTGCAAATTTGCTTTTTTTATACTCTCTGTACTGTGTAAGCCAACAGCTCGCTCAGACTGGATGTGGAACTCCAGTTAGTGTTACTGGGAGCCCGTACAACTGGGGAAATAAAACTGATTCTGTAATACTGTCAAAAACTAGCCAGGAAGCAATGGAAAGTATGGATGTGTTTTTGTATGCCATATTTTTAAAGTAAGTTTAAAAGGAATTATTTTCTTTCTCCTTTCAGTCTACGCCATACTGGTTGGCTAGATGTTTGATGGATTAGACTTTTTTGCATAATTTACATCAATAACTATATAGACAATCCAGGAGGCGTTACGCTGTTCTTTTTAAAAAAATCATGAAATAAAGTTACAGGAATGCGTCCTTTCTGCTCCTTCACTTTGATTATTTCAGAAGCAAATAGTTCAGCATATTTGAGAAATACATATGTTCTGAAGTGGCTATATATATATTTTTTTTTTTTTACTGTATTTTTATAGTAGCAAAGAGGAACATTGGAATACATATATGGACGATGTGAACTGGCACTCCAGAATCTACAGACTGATTCTGATTCGAAGGCTTTATCTTTGAAATCACTGGAAACTGCAGTTGTGAAGCAAGTAGAAGAAATACATAATGAGGTGAGATGATCTGCACTGAGTATAACTTCAGCCAGATTCTGAGGGGTGCAGTCTGCTCATGGAGTTAATGGCAATTAAGAATGTTTGGCTGCTCACAAGGCATTGCTCTGTATAAGTTTGAAATGTGTGTTTTCTGACTTTTTTGTTATATTTTTTTTTTTTTACTGTATTTTTATAGTGTTCAAGAGGAACATTGGAATACATATATGGACGATGTGAACTGGCACTCCAGAATCTACAGACTGATTCTGATTCGAAGGCTTTATCTTTGAAATCACTGGAAACTGCAGTTGTGAAGCAAGTAGAAGAAATACATAATGAGGTGAGATGATCTGCACTGAGTATAACTTCAGCCAGATTCTGAGGGGTGCAGTCTGCTCATGGAGTTAATGGCAATTAAGAATGTTTGGCTGCTCACAAGGCATTGCTCTGTATAAGTTTGAAATGTGTGTTTTCTGACTTTTTTGTTTTTTTTTTTAACTTGGGTGCAATATTTGGGATTAGCTTGGATTGATCCTTTCATTCCAAGGAAGTTTTCAGTTCTCCTTCTGAAGTCCCTCTGCTGGTAGAGTAAAAGAGTAGTTTCTGTAAGATCATGCCAGATGTGATGGTGTGATGGGCAAACCAGACTATAACGCTTCTCTAACAAAAAAGGGTCAAAAAAAATAGACAAAAAGCAGGTAAAAATTTTCAGTTGTTTGTTAGGTGTTGAACCAGATTTTTACAGAATGTCACAATTGTGACTACGTGCTTAAAAGTATATTCTGAAGAAAATACACTGGGAATAGTTGGGAGGAACATATTCAAATAGGTCATTCTGCGCTGCAAAATATGCAAGTGTAACAATGCACTTTGACAGAATCCCACTGGATCTGGCAGTGCTCTCTTGTTTGAAGTGCAGATCTTGAGTCTTAACAAACACATTGATTTGAAAAATGAATTGAAAATATCAGACAGTATTTTGGGAAACTGTGGAAACAGGTACTACTTCCTGTGGTATAAAAGGTAGGCCATGTCACAACAAATGTAACTTGGCTTATTCTCAATTAATGGATAGAGTCAGTATTGTTACTGAAGGTGGTAAATTTAAGACTACTCTTTTTCTAAGTAACATAAAATGTAGTCTATGTATGGGGAGTTTAAAATGCCAGAGAGTTTAGCGGCTCTGGAAAAACTCTCCTTTTACCTGAAACCAGACTTTTGCTGTTCCTAACTGTAAAGCACTGATTTCTCTTTAAAGGAGCATCTCTCTTTAAAAACGGCAGTAGCAACCAGTTAATACAAACTTCTGAACCCCTTTTTGCTTAAATGTCAGTGTTTTTTTAGAGTACTCCTATATTCAGACGTTTTGAAGGAGCTGTTCTGTATTTCTAGTAAGGTAAGTATGATAACTATTAGGAGCCATATATTCTATAGGTAACTTTCACTCAAATTAGAGTTTGTGTAAACTGTTTCAAGTGCTATCTGCTGAGGAGTATAATATTGTGTATTGTTACTAAAACTTGGTAAGAACACATTTTTATCTGTATTGTGTATGCGGTTATTAAAATTGAAATGTAGCGATGGCAAAAAGATTTGCACCCTTGACTTTTAGCAAAACAGCTCCTAGAGCAATTTTAAGAAGTCTGCTGCATGCAGGGTTTTACAAAACATTAATCAGGCTCAGTCCATAAAACTATACGCATATGTGGGTTGCACAGCCAGGGCCACAGGCACAGCTGGTGTGAATTTGCACGGGTCCTTTCACATCAAAGCCATGTGCCGGTTACATCAGGTGAGAGACTAGCCCCTGGTGTTTGCAGTCACCTGAATAATTTTGCTCTGTGACATACAGGGATGTTTCCTGTTACGCATATGGGATATACTGTAACAGAAATCAGTGTTTAACTTGTACATAGTGCACTTAGACTTAGTAGACACATTGGATCTATATTTCATTTGAAAAGAGAATACCCCCTCACCTTTTCCTTTTTCTTTTTTTTTTTTAATTCTTTTTCTCAAGGTCAGCTTTTCACTTAAAGGATAAATTCCGTATGTTAAAGTGCTATTTAAATTTCATTTATTTGCTGCACAAGTAGACAGCATTACTAGTGGCTTATCACTGTGGCAAATGCACAATTCTTCTTTGAACATCACTGAAGTGAAACATATGCATCTGGAAGGCTAATGCAACTTTTTTGCATGTAAAAGCTTCCCACCTTCTTTTACTCACTGCATGATTATCTTTGTATTTTCAGGCACTAATACAGGTTTTAGGTTCAAATTTTCTCAGGCAGGTGAAGAACAAGAACGTGTTTGGGTTTTTTAAAGAATCAAACTGTTTACTGATGAAAATGAGTCTTCCATTTGATTGGTGTAGTCAGGATTTGGTCACTGGTTTGTTTTTGTAGCCAGTTTTTGGTGTGATTTTTTTTTTTTTTTTTAAGACAAAATCGCACAAAAATCCAATCACAGAATTAATGAAGAACTGCTGACCAATTTTGCCTGTGTGTTTCTGTTCTGATACACAGCTTTCTGTGTTAGTTCTAAACCTCTTTGTGATTTTTTTTCTTTCTTATTTCTATTCTTCTGTACCAGGGATCATGAGCTTGAAATTAGGTACTATTCCCATCTGGAGAGGAGGTGGTATGGTTGTATTTTACTTTCAAATATTGCCATAACTGAAGCTCTTCACAGGGTTTAACTCAGATAATTAGATGCAGCCATTGTTCTAGATTCTTTATCTTCCTGAAATGCTGTGGGTTTGAGATTTTTACTCCTCTTGCTGGCACTTCTGAAGTCGTCATGAGAGGTCATTAAGCAGAACAGAACCAAGCCAGTACCATCAGGCTCTGTGTGTCTAAGCCCAAATGCAGTAGTTTAGCACAGATCTGCATTCTGTGCTGAAATGGACTGCGCTGCCAAGTGAGATGGGGGTGAATTATCTGTGTCTGCTAGAGGGGGAAAAGGCCTAAGAGCAAGTCTGAAAGAATGAGGTATGATTCTGTGCCTTCACTGCTGTACTCCCGGGCAGGAAGATTGACTTGCTGTGCTGATAAAGTGGGTTTGAACTGAAGATCTGAAGCACAGGTGGAAAAGTTTTTTCCATTTTTGTGGTGGGCAGAGAAACCTCTAAAAGAGGTATGGGTGAGTGACTGGGGGGTGGCTTTACTGCTGTTAGATTTGCCAATATTCATTTGTCACAGTCCTGTCTTCAATCTCTTAACAGAGGTATTCCAGTCGAAAAGGTAAGATGCTGACCAGGCGAGATTTTTAGCATCTCTAGTGGGCAGCCAGGTAGAAGTTTAATATTTCTTTAGTGTTGGCTTTGTTGTCATGGTCTCCCTCACTAAAACAGCCTTCAAAGGAATATCTGAGTAATTGCGAGGTATGTGCTGTTTGTTAGATGTGTGAGTCACTTCACTCCTAGAATGTACTTTGTAGTTGTAAGTAAAGATAACCTTAATTAAGGGTGTTCACGTGCTGCTTGTCTGAGTAGCTTATGGGCTTGAAGTCTGAACAGATACTTCAGTGGCAGCGTATCTGGGGAGCAGAGTGTAGCAGTGTGAACAGAAGCAATTACCTGGACAGCTGTGAAGTGCAGGAGCCTAACAATGTACACACAGGGGTAAGAGTTTGAATGAAGTTGCCCCTTTAAGCAATCAGATTGCAGTTTGGCCAGTAATAGTTTATCCTGACATAAATGATCTTGCAGAGTTCACCGAGTGGGAACCTCTTGCTTCTACTGACTCACACTCAGCTTTCCAAAATATGTACAGCTACTGGGTATGTCCCAAACAAAGCTTCAGGGGACCTGGGGAAAGCCATTGGCGAGCAAATGCTTTTAAAAGTAATAAAACGCTGCTGGGCAGATGATATAAATGCCCATAGGTATAAAAATAAATCTGTGGAAAAGATCATCACCAGCCTATTCTTCACATTTCATATTTGTTTTCCTTGCTCTGAGTCAATGTCTGATAATAGTTCATATTGCACAAGATAGATAGTTTCAAGGCTTCTTTATTTGTCAGCACCAACCTAACAATTGGATGTTCTCTATGAAGTAAAACACTAGAGGAAGTTTTCGTAGCATCTGGGGATTGTGTTGAAAATGTAGCAGGTTTCAAAGTAAGTACTGAAGTTTGAAAAGGTAGGGTTGGTCCTCAGCAGGGTTTTTGCTCAGCTGCGATTATCAGATCCTGATTACCATGATTAAAACTTGCAACTGAATTGGTTGTTATTTGTGAGGCACAGTCACTTTTGGCTACAGCAGATCTCTTTTTGTGGCAGGAGTAGATAAATGTCAGTGTGGTGAAGGCACAGGCGTGTAGGAAAGCCTGGGCTGAGTTGAAGGTGTCTGGTGTTAGAGACCCAGGGCACTGCAGAGGAAGGGTAGCAGCCGAAGGAAGGTTAATATGTTCTAGCACATCACAGTGAGCTGACAGCATGGTTGGTGGCCAGCTAGTACAGAAGAGAGAAAATATAGATCACCTGCACGTGTGGCATTTAATAACCAATACTTTTAAATAATTGACTGAGGAGCACTGCCTCACAAAATGTCAAATGCTACTGTCGGCCTTTTACTACCCAGTATTGACTATAACCTAAAACTGGCCTTTAATCATTGTTTAAAGGACAACTTGAAAATATGTTGAGGTTAGAGATATGAGGCCTGATTCTGAGCTTACTTGCAGAGTTGTAAGTCATAAATGAAAATTAATTAGGAGATGAAATTATTCCCAAAACACTCAGAATATATATTCTTATATGATAATCTGTTCAGGCTCTGTCCTGTTTAGCCGTGTAGCATGCTTTCCAATGCTACCTGAAGCTACTTGTGATATGTGGGAGTCTCCAAATTAAAATTCTTTGACAAAATCCTCAGCCAGAGCTGAGAACCTGAGAGCGTTGTCATGGAAGATGAACATTCTGTAACTTCAGTTCCACTAGGGCTAAAATTGAGCTTTTTGTGTCTCCAGTATTTTCTGCTGTGGCTTTTCTCCTGGTACAGCTCCTCCTGTTCGTGGAAGGAGGCGAGGCAATCGGAATGCCTTCCTGCTGAGGGAAGGGAGGTTACTGAATAGGGTTCGATGAAAGCAGGAGGACATACAGCTTTTAGTAGAAGCTGGAAAGCAGATAGCATATGTTCTTGTTAAAACAGGTACTTAGTAATGGATTTGGTGTGAAAAGTATTCATGTGTCAATTAAAAATACCAAACAAACTTAGCATAACTGGAAGCTCTGGAGATTTTTAGTAAAACTAAGTATTTATGCTTGCATATGTCTGAAACAAGGATGGAGTGATGGCAAACCATTGCCTCATCATTATGTGTTTTTCAGAATCAACAGTTACCTGTTCAGAGGTGATATGTCATCAGCTTCATGGCTAAGTTGCTGGTTGAAACATTGTTTTTCTCCCCAGCCCCCATTTTATTAACTCAGTTTACAGCTAAACCGGGGCGTTGTGAGTTGAATATGGACCTGAGTTTGAGTGCCCTACTAAATGGTAGTCTTCATTGTTAAACAGCCACACGTTACAATTTGGTACACTGGCCTCTGAGGAGACCAGCTAATCCTGCAGAAAATTAACTAGCCTGTTCCTAACCTTTACCTCTTGTACCTAAAAAGGAGCTCTTCAGTATCAAGCTATGTATTCTGTAGAGGATCAAGATACATTTAAAATTTGGTTAAGATGCCAGGCTTGAATTGGACTGACATTACATAGATTAATGTAACAAATCAACATGACTAGTCAAAAACCAGATTGACTGAAATAGATTCTTGTCTTGATGACCCATATCATAACATTTATTTAATTTTAAAGAAAATTTTTTTTCACTGATTAATGGTCTCATGTGATTCATTTCCTGAAAAGATGTTTGCCAGACATCATGTGTTACAGCCCTTTCAGTGGCAGAGGCCAGCAAAACCAAGAAGTGCTTCAAACTCTCCTTGTACCGCTGATATGCTCAGCCTTCCCCAAACTGTGTGTACTGATTTGTAACAAATCGTATCTTGATCCTTCATACCTCATTAATGCTGTAGAGGAAGCAAACTTTCCTTCAGTGTTTTTTTTAGGAAGGATGTCATCAAACTTCTGTGCTAAAAAGTCCCTAGGCTCGCAGGCAGTTTCTTTGAAAATATTTTAAGATCTATGTCTGCCAACAAATCATGTTATTATGTTTTACCAACAAAGTTGCTTTAATATTCTTTTTATGCGCTTCAAATTTAAGCATCTTTTCTTGTAATCTTTAACATATACTGACCAAACATTTAGTTAATGTTAACTGGAGTGCTTTCTGTAGCCATTCTGTTCACCCTTGCAGGAAAGAAAGCAGTAGGTGACAGCTTTGGGCAGTTTGCTTTATTCTCTCACCTTGGCAGGTTGTTGTTGTTTGCATCATCAGAGCGGAGCAGGGATAAACAAAAACTTCTTTGTGGTACAAATAATGATTAAAGCAGCTTTGAACTCGGTGTGAAACACAACTACCACAACAAAGATAAATACAGAATTCTACAGACCAGAACTATGGATTACTATTAAAGGAAAAAAAGGCTCAGTGGAAGTTAGGATAAATGGAATTATTTTGCTTAAAGAATATTTGATGAGTTATATATTTATATTCTGTTTTAGTAAGCTAATATTTCTCTTGTTTTAAAGTTGGTGTGCCATCCATATATGAATTTTTTTTAAAGCCCCAACTAGTAAAGTATTATATCATTTCTTGTGTTTCATATTCTAAATAAAAGTATTAGCTTGCTCCTGATGGAAGGTTTATGGCTTCAGTGGGGGATTTGTTTGCTTTGTAAAGCACAATTTCCACACAAGCTTTCTCCTAGAAAACCCTGTTACTTCAGATGCTCCGAGAAGCTTTTTGGCTCCTGGTAGGTGGGGGTTGTTGTGTGTTGACAGGTTTTGGGGTAATGGCAGATCCCGTGGAGGGAGCATGAGAGGCTTTGGGCCCCAGGCAGGTCTGCCCAAGCAGGGCTTTCATGGCTCCTGTTGAGATCCAGTTAATCCGAAAGTTATTGGTAGCTGATCTGGTCACCAGATTGTTTGGTAAAGTCTGAGGCACCACGATTCATTGTAATGTTGCACTCTCATTCCATAACAGTTCTAGCAATTTTATTACTGCAAGTTTTTTCAATCTTTTATATGACTGAAATATTTTGAAACCCACAATGTTAATCAAAATAAGCCAGAGCTGGTATATATTTGACTGAATTGTGAGTAAACTGAACTTTAAATGTTCTTTGTACATCTACCACATGTAAAGAAGAGAGTTGGGGTTTGCACCCCTGTAGGTTAGAAGGGAGTAGCTCAGGTCACAAATTCATGTGGAATAGAAACACAATAAACACCTGGGTGTGAGGCTGCATTTAGAAATGAATACTTTGCTAACCTGCTCCTTTTCTATGGCATTGTTTGGGTATAGCTGTTTTCATGCGTTACCCCATTCCTGCCCCAAATAATGAATGTAGATGTTTATGCTACACTATGTTTTTACCTTGCAGGTTGAATTTGAGTGGCTTAGGCAGTTTTGGTTTCAAGGCAAGCGGTATTTGAAGTGCACTGATTGGTGGCTTAAGCCTATGGCTAAACTGGAAGAATTTTGGAGAAAAATGGAGATTATGGTAAGTACTAGCTTTATAGTCTAAAGCCTCTAGAGCTTAATTCTGAGAGCACTCACAATTATGTTTTTAATTGTACTGTAGCAATGGGTATTAAACTTTATTCAGAACATATGAAAAGTAGAATCGGTGTCAGCCCTCCACTGCTGCCTCCTGTTTTTCTCCCCAGTAGCCAGAAGAAATGTGAGCAAAATAAGATAAAGATTTTAGTTATTTCCTTTGCTTGGTTTTCAAGTTTGGCAGCCTTGTAAGATGACAGTAATATATTACATCATACAAACTGGTACATGGAACTGTGCATTCTCAGCTTTTTTGTACAATACCAAGATAGACAACTCTGCCAGTGACAACAGTGGTGAATGCATCTGAGGAAAGTTGGGAACAAAATGTGATGGTCTGGAGGTACAACCGTCTGCCTGTAGTCCCCCTGCACACGTACACCATAGCTAGAGCCAACAAGAAGAGATTAGTTTCTTGAATAATTGTGGTGATCTTGGCTCCTGTGTACTTGAAAGTACATCCCTGCTTTCCTTGAGAACAGACTCGGTGACAAGCACCGGTGCCCTGCTTGCTGGTGCTGGCCAAGTAGAGCCTCCGTTGGGAGACTTTGCTAGTGAAAGTGCTTGACCAATTCCCAGATTCCTGCTTCTAGGTTTGTATGCTGAAGGAACTATATTGACAAACTTGACGTGCTCATACCACGTGTCTTCATTAAAAGCTTCTTCGCAGTCATTTCTGCCGGTCAGAGCGTAACTCCCAGTTTGCCCCTGGCTGCCTTGGAACAGTGTGTAAGGTACCTGAGGATGCTGGATGTGATTTGTAGCAGAGGTGTGTTTGGAATCTCTGGAGGTGTGGTACAACAGGAATATGCTCTGGGGTTTTGAGGGCAATGGTGTGACTCACTAACCTGCTCTCATCTATTGGAAGCTTTTCCAGCAACCGCTGCTTTCAGACTTGGAAAATACGGGTGGAAAAGTACAACCTAAATTGGTGAAATCGGTTGCTGCAAGGAATCTGTGAACATTAACCTTCACTACCAAAGGAGGGAAATTATTTATAACTTGTTTGTGTGGGTTTTTTTCCTCATTTTTATGTTCTTATGTGCTCGCATTCTTGAATGACCTATATCATTTAAAAAAAATCTTTTGGTTTGTTTTCCTTTCAAATGACAACTTACTCTCTTGTAACACAGGCTTAGATGAGGTAGAGACAAGAATGTTTGATTGTTATTTTATATCCATTGTGTGCTGAGAACATGGAAAAACAGCAAACTCAGGAATTCTCAAGGGTTAGGTTTTCTGCAATTGGTGTGACATTACCATGTGTCTCTAATTAGGAACATGGTGGCGTCAGTGTATCTCCTTTCAACAGGCCTCAGGATGATATTTATCAGCAAACTGAAGGTTGGGCCAAGACAGAAGCTGCTTCTAATTTAAATTTTAAAAATTGCTTTAATGTTTTATGACTTATAACATATTAATCACAATTAATTTCAGCTATTGAAGGAGACAGAAGAGAATTTTAATTGAGAATGTCTGTTTTGTTGAGTCTCTAAGTAAATTTGATGCTTACTGTATTGGGGGCTTGGAGGTAGAGCGGGTTTTTTTGGATTTAACCTACATTTTGTCCTTTAGTATTTTACAAAATGACAGTAGGGGGCAATGTTGAGCCGCAGTTTTAATGCAACAACAGGCACTGACTTAATAAAAATACATAGAAATGTAGCATTAACATCAAGAATTATCCCTGTTGCTTCAAGTTAGCTGTAATCTCTAAGATTCCATAACACAGGAAATCAATTGTGGGTTAACAAATTCAACAGCAATTTAACATAAAAAGTGCAGTGTTTTGGTGCATGCTTAGCTTCCCCAGCATTAAGTTAAATCAAAAAGGTATTTCTGAAGGTACCCAGTAGTCTACAGTCAATGTTTTTTCTCCAAATTTATAATTTCAGCTGAATGATTCTTTAAAAAAAAAAAAAAGTTAAAATGCTAAGAGTAAAAATGTCTTAGAATTGTTGATCTTGTCTTAGAATAATATTGTTGCTTAAAAGGAATTATTTCTTAGAAGAAAATACTTAAGCAATGTATTTTTCTTACTTTTGTGTGTGAGCTTGAACAGCTCTTGACTTTTTTTTTCCTTTTAACACGTATCTAGAGTGATACAAGTCAGTCTTGTGGTCCCTGTGCGCCTCTTTTTTTTCCTATCCTTTTTTTAGTAAAGCAGTTATAAAGAAGAAAAGAAAGTTTCCAAACCAATGTCTGGTTCTGCTAATTGTAATTACTGCAGTGTCACAGCAGAGTATGATACTGCAGGAAGTTTAATGCAGTGTCTTCAAACCTTTGGGCTTTATTTAATATTTTTGTACATTATGGCAAGCACACAATTTTATCATCATGTTTATTCCTGGCATTTCTTTCCCTGAGGATAGTTTTACTTAGAGCTCGCTCTTGTGATGTAAATGTTAAACCTTTCATTTGAATGACATTCTGATAAAACATCACATTTCCCACAATATTACCTCATGAATTTATGAACCATTAAATCCAAAGCAGTTTAACCAATCTTCTTCTCTTTTTTTCCCCCTCCCTTGAAAATATGAAGGCTATTCAAATGTTTGAGAGTGTGGTTTTTTTCTTTTTTTTTAAAAGTCATCCAAGATTAACACGTTATCGTCTGCAGCATCGGGATAAATGCTTGTGGAATTCAAAGGGAGAGTTACCATTTGAAAAAAAGACTGTACAAGCTTTGCTTTCTGGGTAAAGAGAAGTCTGAAAAGCTGAAATCTCATGTGATGTGAGGAAGTCTTGCTGTAGCTGTTTTGAGATTCAGCGGAGAGACAATTTGTCTCTCAGGGTCTGATATCATGCAAACCTTGCAATCTGACATTTATTTTAGCTATGAAAATCTTTTAACGCCATGCCGAATCACTAAGAACTGCAGAAGTCCTACAGTCCTTTCTTTTTTTTTTGGTTTATTTTGTTTTAGGCTGATTTTACTGAATAAGTAAGATGTAAATCAACGAAATGGTTTTAGTTTGTGGAATGAAAAGTAGACGTATATGATTCTACTTAAATACCAAATCTTTAAAGACTTTTTTTAATGTATCTAGTGTTTCTTTTAAAAAAATGTAAAATAAATGAAGACCTTAGTAGTGCTATATGGTGTGAATTGTATTTCCTGCTTTGACAGTCCATTTAGCAATGTAGCAATGTATTTATATGGCAGTTGGCCTTAATAACCTTTATTGACTCTAGTGGGCAAGAGCCAAGACTGGGATTATTAAAATGTATCAGTTTCACTGCAGTATAAAATCACAACATATATAATTATGTTAGGTAGGCTAGGCTCCATTTAATCCTACCTATTTATGCAGGAATTTGGCAAGGTGAAAAAAATCGTAGAACTAAAACACAGAGAAAAGTAGGACTGATTTGGAGTTATATTTAACAGTGTAAGCGTTTGCCTACAATAGAGGGCTACTTAAAAGGAATGAAACTTAGATCTTAAAAAACAGGTTTTTAATGGTTTAACTGAAACACAAGTAATTGTTACACCATTTGTTTCATTTTTGGCGTCCTAAAATGCAGGTAACGATAATGAAATGCAGCACACCTTTTAATGTATAAATGTAGTGTAAAAGCAGGAGTGGGCACACCCTGGGTAGTTCCAACGGGCACAGTGGCATTTCATGCAAACTGATACCTTTCTGCACAACTTTCCCCTTGATTTGTAAAACTTTTTCTAAACCATATTTACAAGTCATGTTATGACTGTTATTCTCAATAGCATGCTTTTATCAGTTTATACAACTAAATTGAAATCAGAGTGCAAGGCTATGTTCTTGTTGAAGTATTTTTCTTTCCTTTTTGAGGTCTATTTCATTATTTGCTGCTATTGCTCCATATGAAGTATGTCATAGTTTCAGCTCTAAGCCACTATTGTCAGGGACTTAGAGCCTGACAGTTAGAATTGAGTCTAGGCTGAAACTTGAGCTACAAAATCTCAGCCCAGGGCCATAATATATTTCTTTTTCTTTCTTTTTTTTTTTTTTTTCCCAAATTAAAACAAGGGTTTAAATATGTATTTAAATCAGAACTTCAGTTCCAGAATAACCATGAAAAACTGTAAGACAAAATATGCTTTTAAAAGGAATCCTCCTAGCTTTTGTAGACTTTGGCACTTTAAACAGCTAACCAATTATATTTAAATATATAAGAAGGAGATCTCAAACAGGCTGATTGGTTCTTTAGCTTTTTTCAGAAAACGCAGAGCAACTTAACTGACATTTGAATTGTTTTGACCTTGTCAGCCAAAATTCAAGAAATTCTGAGGTATTATTTTAATTTCTTTTTTAGCTTTCCCCTTGTGCTTCGGTATTGCAGTCTCACACTCCTTTAGGGGAGGGGTGATGGGTGATCGTATTTGCCTAATGAGCTGTGAAATGTAGGCACAACATGGCAGCTCAAAGACCCAAATTTTAGCCATATTTCTTGTCTTTTGGGGCTCTTCTTATCTGTTTAGGCCAGGCCCTTTAAATAAATGTATTTTTGGCAGGTTGTATTTTATGTAGGCTAGGAATCGGATGTTTCTGGAAATGTACCTTTTATCTTAAACAACAACAACAAAACCTGATCCTGAAGATTTTTTTATTTTCTTTTTTTTGGCACTAATTTCCTTGACCTCAATATTTTTAGCTGTCAGAAATGGGAGAAAAGATTCAGCATTGTGTGGAGTAGAATCACTACCAATCTTTTTTTTTAAAAAAAAAAAAAGAAAAGAAAAAGAAAAAAGTAAAGTTGTATTGCACATCTTTCAGAAAAAAGTATTTACAATTCTGAAGGAATTCAGACTTAAGCTTCCAAAACAAAGTGTGTGCTGAAAGCACAAAGGACTGTGTTTATGATTCTCTTTGAAGTGTTTTTGCAACAGGATAAGGAAAATTTTAGAAACTGTCTGATAGTGTTCAGGGTAAATACTTAAACCCCTTTAGAGAATTTCAC